AAACAATATTGACGATAGTAAATAATATTTAAGAAATATTTAGGAAATAATATTAATAATAATAAATAATATTAAAAAAATAATATTGACAATGATAAATAATATTTAAGAAATATTTCAGAAATAACATAGATAATAATAAATAATATATATGAAATATTTCAGAAATAATATTTAAGAGACAAATTTCAGAAATAATACTTACACAATACTTAATAGAAACAACCTTGACATATCAGTATTATTATACAACATAATTATAGAATATAATAATAACACAATTCCATAATAAAACAACTATAAAACAAAACATAATTATTACTGTTATAATAATACTTCTACGTCCAACAAGTCAACCACAACGAACGATAACCTCAAATAACCTAGTACCCTAAACGAACGTCCGAATACAAAGACAAAAAAAAGGTATCGTCCACACGTTCTTACCTTTCAAAAATCAAGCAATTTATACAATTAAACATAAACTGTATCCGCGCCAAAAACTTCTGTCACTCACTGTGTAATATTCTATCCACGGTCGCAGATCGTTCAGCCGTCGACATAACCTTGACAGCCGAATAATTCGAAAAAAGAGAATACGAAAAAAAAGAGAAGAAAAATGATTCGATATTTAAACTTTGATATCTCGCGACTTGCACAGGCCAGCAGCACACCTGCCGGCTTCTTTTCCAGCACGGCACACGTCGGTCGCGGAACGAACTTCGCGAACGAAGGGACGGAGCACGCGTCGTCCGCCGTCGCGTTGTCGAATCACCACTGTGAACACGCACTGAATCTCTCTAGCTTTCCAGCATTTCCATCGGGTCCCGAGCGGTTCGAGCGGTTCCCGACTAGACAGACAGACAGACAGACACGCCACCGAAGGACGAAGGACGCGCTGCTCGCGCGGACGCGAGACTGAATCCCGTCACCAAAAATCACGGTGCGCCGCGCGTGGAAGCTCGGCTCACGGCGCGCTTGCTCGCTCGCTCGTTCGCTCGCGAACGCTGAAAAACGAGCGCCTAGCCTCTAACCGCTCCGACCCGCTCCGACCCGCTCCGATCCGCGCCGACCTATCGCCTCCCTTCCGTCCAGCGCCGGCGATAAAAGCGGCTGGTTTTCATCGCGCGTACACAGCTCACGTGCACCGTGTGCCCGGCAACGACATTTCCTGTTTCCTTCCTCCTAGCCGTTCCGTACCGTGCCGCCGCGCCGCCAGCGACCGTTCGCAACCGGAAAACCCGCCGAACCCATACGTTACCCGCTGTCATGGTCCCCCGGTGACCATGCGACCGGGTGCACCGGATTCCCGATCGATCAATTTATTGGGCCGGCCGACATACTTTCACCTTGCTGATATACCGGAGGTGAACCATATAAATGTCTCCATCGATAATTATATGTTGTTTAGTTTGTTGGTTAGTTAATTATTTAGTTGGTTAGTTCATTAGTTTGTTGGTTCGTTAGCTAGATCATTAGATAATACGTTAGTTAGTTAACTAGTTATTTCTTTAAGTAGTTAGTTAATTCGTTAATTTGTCAGTTAGTTAGTTAATTCGTTAGTTAGTTAGTTAGTTAGTTAATTAGTTAGTTAGTTAGTTAGTTAGTTAGTTACTTACTTACTTACTTACTTACTTAGTTAGTTAGTTATTTAATTATTAATTAGTTAGGTAGTTAGCTAGTTAGTTACTCAGTGAATTAGTGAATTTAGTTAGTTAATCAGTGAGTTAGTGAGTTATTTGTTTACAGAAATATGTTTTTAATTAGTTAGTTATTTT